TGACACAATGTAAATTTAAGAAGGAATATATATCTTGCCGAGACTTTTTTCTTTCTTGAATCTTCCAGGAGTTCCGACAGATATCGAAGATATCGAAATAATTTTTTTCATATAAGTGAAGATAAGAGATGCAACAAATATTGTTTAATAAAGAAGCCTTAGTGATCAAGCCAGCGAGTGCACAACTCTTTTCAATTAAAATATTTTCGACGTTCTTCAAATAAAAAATATTTATTATGATTATATATGCACGGACGCACGCACACATATTATAATATTTTTCTGTTTATAGAGAAAAACGATAAAGCGATAATCATGTTTTTTTGATTTTCCAGAAAAAAAATTATTTATATTTGTTAACATTCAATAAAATGGATACCGATACCTCAATTTCTCAATGCTGTACTACTATGGTGACGTACATAAAAAACTCTGAAACGATAAAATCAAGTTTATTTAATTTTAAAACCGACATAATATGGTATGTTGTTTTGCAAGTTGCATTATTACACATCATTGGAATTTATGGGATATGTACCTTCAACTATTTAAAAAACCCAATGACTACATTGTGGAGTAAGTATCCCAAAAATTTGATATATATTCCTACACATAGAAACCTAAAAAAGAGGTTTTTAAAATATGTCATTTAAATCTTAATGCATTATATGATCTTCTCAAAATACTATATATATTCAAAGCAAAATTATAGTAGTCAAAATTGGCGAAATTTTCATATCAGAAATGAAGCGTTCAGACATTCATATTAATAATAAAACAATTGATAATATTAATTTCTTCAATTTTTTATTTTCCGAGTCATTTGATATTCACAAAAGGTCACGCAGAACTGACAATCTTAAAAAAAAAGCATTCAGTGTTTTTACATCCCAGACAGCACATGTCTCTAAAAGATGTCTAAAAGACAATTTTAAGACGTCTTACCATCATTTAAACATTTTTAAGATGTCTTTTGGTCTTCTTGTACTATCTAAGATATTAATTGCAGAATCATTATGAATAATAAATGTTTGCGACTTGTATATTTTGTATACTTTTACATCTATTAAATCCGATCCACACTTACTAATTGTAAGAGCTGATTATCCATTGATTGACACATTCGTTGAATGCGATTAATATTACAAAAGATATTAAAAAGTTTTTTAAAAATGTCGATAATTTCTTACAAGTCTCTACGTTATATGAAGAATTACTATATAAGAAAAAGAATTTCAAAGAATTTCTTAATAGATATTTAGTGAAATGCATAGACGGCACTTGAATGATTGCAAAACGTTTACAATAGCATTTTTATAGATATTATTTATCACTTCAACTCTTCTTTGGCTTCATTCTACCTACAATAATACCAGTATACCTCTGGAACGAAACCTGGGCCAGAGCCATAATATCGCAAGTATTTATACGATACATTATCACTCTGCACACCGTGTGGACCATCAATAGCATCGCTCATGCGTGGGGTACTAGACCATATGATAAGTATGTAATTCGCACGTTTAATTACGATATCCAAAATTTCATCTGTGCGCGATTAACAATAAATTATAAAACTTTAACATAATTGTTTGCATAATAACAAATAATTACTTTATATAATACAAAGCGCACAATTATATTTTGTTAAAATTTTCTTCAGAAAATAGTGTTTTACTTATATAGCGGCCTTGGTGTAATTTTTGTGACATAATTATATAAGGCTTAATGTTTAGTCTCATTATATTGAAATCGCTCGATAAAATGTTTTCGTTTTTAGAAACATAAAACCGACGGATAATATTATTATCAATTACTTGACATTGGGAGAAGGATATTACAATTATCATCACGTGTTTCCCTGGGATTACAGAGCGGCGGAAATAGGAAACAATAGAATGAATTACACCACACTCTTTATCGATATGTTTGCGAAATTAGGATTAGCCTACGATCTTAAGTACCCGTCCATGGATTTGATAAAGAAAACCGTATTCAAGAGAGGTGGCAGAACACATCTCATGTTATCCGAAGTACCGGGACCGAAATGAGATTAATTATACAGCCGAAAAAAATAAAGTAAGAAACATAAAAAAAAAAGAAATATAATCGGAGAAAGAAATAATAAATACATCTGTCTTTTGGTTGAGGATGCATCTTGCTATAATCTTTAGACTTGTTTTTATTGAAAATACAATTTAAACGTGAAATACAAATTAATGAAATATGTCAATGATTATTGCGTAATGTTATTGTTATATTAGGAAACACTTTACGTGTGATCTCGACCAACGAATGGTCTCTTTATATGAATAGTATCACTGCGTACTTAATTTTATGTATACATATATATGGAAGATTATAAAAATCGTAAGAAATATGTATATATATATATATAT